TGCATTTTAACTACATTTGGTCATGAATTACTTATTATGGCTTATTATTACGTATTATTGGAGCATTAGTGTGCCCGGTGCTGGCATGAAATGCACTATAATTTGAAACCGCGGGCCTGAGCTGTAAAAAAAAAAGAAAAAAAAGGCTGGTTTGTGTAACTTGAAGGCATCTCTGTTCTCTTTTGAGGTATCTCTCCAAAGCTGCCGGGTTATACGCAGGTCGACCGTTTCTCCCCTGCTCTGTATTCACACTATTATCCATCCATACCAGAGGTTTTGCAGCCTGACTCGGTGTGTTTGTTTCTTTTGAATCGTATGCTGCGATTTCAGCTTCATCATTAAATCCGGTTCGTTTTGTTTACGCCTCATCGATGTGCCCATTCTGACAAAAGCCAACCAACATTTAGGCCTAGACCTTAATCTTTTTTTTTAAATTATAATTTTTCTTTGCGATGAGGCGTGCAAGGTAAAATAAAAAATAAAAAAAAGAAATCTGCATGCAGTGGTTATTTTTTCGCTCTGAGAGACAAGTGTTGGACCTCCAACCTTTCAAACGTTTGGCCACAGCAGAGCAGACAGAATTTGCGTCTATACGAGCTCCTAATTAGAAGCAGATGGCGCTTGGAGCAACTGAGCACTAAAACACAGCGTTTTCCAGCCCGAGCCGCGGTCACTGAGCCATACAGGTGCACAGTCTGCGGGGGCTCACCGACCCTCAGTTCATTTACAAACTCCTACCCTCTCCCCTCTCTGCCCTCCCTTCCCAAACCCAAATGAACATGGGACGACTTAAATAGAACTGCTCGTAGCCGGGGCTGAATGGTGTTTTATGGTGGAAAAGCATTCCATTTCAGATGTAGCTGATGGCCAACGTGACCGACTAGAAAAGGAAAACTGAGCTTGGTCCAAGCTTGCAAAGCGTTATATGGCCTTCTTGCTTGTTTACTAAATTGAAGTCAAAATAACTGATCAGTTTTTGATATAATACTAGTTGGTAGAAAAATGTTCAACCGGTTGTTTCACAGTCCCTCTGTAGAATTTGTCCTCTTACTCTTATCTTTAAAGTGATCTAATGTATCCAAAGGTCGCCGTATTCGACGCTCGTTCGCTTTTGGGAGGTCAAAAACAAGAGAAAAAAGTTGAAGATTCACCTCCAGCGCCTTGCCTTTGGGTCATTAGTCTATCAGGGATGCAACTTAAAATTGGACAAAACACCAGGAGTTTACCTCACGTTGTATGTTTTTTTAAATTCAGGTACAAAAGGTTTTATGTTTTATTCTAGCTATGACTAAATAATACTTTTGTCAAATGCGTTTGTTGAACTTTGACGTGACCTTTAAAGACTAAAATTGAAAGATAATTTACTTTTCCGCTTTAATCTCTCAATGCTTTTTAGATATTGTTCCTAAAAGAAACTCCATGAGGCGTTTGATACTTCTCTAAAAAAAATCGTGCTTTGCGCGGTGTGGACACAGCAAAAGAAAAATGGAGCTTGGAATTTAATCAGCTTTTCAACACTTGTAACCAACTGAAAATCGTACAAACTTTTCTGATTCCTATAAACATGAAAGATGCGGCCAACACAAAGGCTTTTGTCTTTGCTAGTTGACCCAAAGCAGCGAGGGAAGTTGTGCATTTTCAGGAATGTGGCGGAACGCTTCAGGAAGGCGCAGGGTGAAGCTTCCAAACAGGCTCTCCACCGGCGGGCCCCAAAAAGAACTGCTTGTGGAGAAGCCCCCCAAAAAAGACGCGTGACAGCTTTTACGCGACGTAAACCCCCGAGCTACATCTGAGTGGAGGGTTTTGTTGTGTTATCTGAGCCATCTTCGCTGTAGGTGGGGGCATAGCTGGAGCCCATAAACAAGACAGTGAACAGCATTCGCCTCTGCCCCCTCTTGTGAAAAGGGAAATGAAAGTGAAATTAAATTTGTACTTTATTTAGTGTTGGCAAACCTCAGGATGGAATAAAAACCCCAAAAAGGGGGGAGTAGCAAACCGCCACGCCATCAGTTTAGTTTCTACAATAAGAGGCCTATCAGTTTTCATATTTCTGTTGTTCACTTTGGGTCGTTTAAAAAAAAAATCCTAACAGTAATTAAAGCAGCGAGACATTAAAATCCAATCACGTGAGCACTGCTCGGTCCACCTCTCCCTCTCTTTGTGTGCTTCGTCCTGTTGCATTGTTGATGGTGCTCTGGCGGCCGACATCCTCCTCGTTGACCCCCGTCTCCCTCTCTGCCTTTTCCGTCTCATGAAAAACGATTCCAGCTCTCTGATTGAATTTTATTCCTTCCTGACCAGGTCCATTCTGTGAGAGCGCCATCAATCTTTGGACTAACACGACGTTTGTTTATTAGGCCTACACTTGGGAAAGTATCTAATGACTTTTATAAGCCTGACTGCGGTCCAATCGAAGAGCTGGAAGACACGCGCAGGCAGGATTTAGTGCAGTTGCAATGCAAATGCTGTAATTAAGTTTATTTGATTCCTCCCATTATATAAAAAAACATACCGTGACTCTATTGACTAAACTGTGACCGATGATGAGAAGGTGGCCTCCTTTAACTTGCATTTTACGTTTGTGCTGTGTTTTGTTTAATCCCAGATCTTCTGGGGGGGAAACGATTTTAGAAACGAAGTCAGACATGTTTAGATATCAAAGCGTATTCATTCAGGAATGGGGTCTGACTTGCGTCCGTTTGTCTGCTGCCTCTCCGGTGTTTCCGGTGAAAAGGGAACTTTTTACAAAAACATCCCCGACGTTCGTGCGTAAAAGAGGTTGTGTTGTCATTCAGACTGCAAGATTTCCTACATGATAAGTTTAAATCCTAAACTTTAACCAGAAAAGTTTTCATTAATATTTGTACTAATGGGTAAATGATGTGTTTTGAGGCTGCATAACTCAGCTGACAAATATTGATACATCTCCTTCTCTGATACACAATAGCTGAGATGGCGAGATTTAAATGTGATCGTTTCTAGCTATATTTATGAGGAATTTTGTATATATATATGTATATATGTATAGACATGTACATATGTATATGCCTTTGTTTTATTTTGCTTATGGAGCCTGTAACAAAAATAATTTCCCTCTGGGATTATGAAAGTATTTCTGATTCTGATTCTGATTCTGATTATTATTGTTATTATTATTATTATCATCCATCCATCCATTATCGTAACCTCTTATTCCCTAATGGGTTCGCAGGAATATCATTATTATTATCATTATCATTATCATTATTATTATTATTATTATTATTATTATTATTATTATTATTATTATTATTATTATTATTATTATTATTATTATTATT